CGAGGCAGTTTTGGGGCATCCTGGGAAGCAACCAACCTCTCGCACTGCAGCAACTGGAACCTAGCATGCAATACCTGGTTGATACCTGGTTGATGGGATTCTGGGAGTTCTTCTACTCCCCAAGCCCGGCCCGGGGCCAGACTTGACTTGTGAGTTTGGTCCACCAGGCTGTTGCTTGGAGCGGACCGCAGGCCCACATACCCACCACAGTCCGGTTGGTCCGGCACTCCTTGAAGGAAACAATCTAGTTTCCTCTTGAAGATGTCCTTGGTTGTTCCTGTAATATTTCTGATGCTTGTTGGTAGGACACTGAACAACCATGGACCTCTGATGTTCATACAATGTTCTCTGATTGTGCCCATGGCACCTCTGCTCTTCACTGGTTCTATTCGGCATTTTCTTCCATGTCGTTCACTCCAGTACATTGTTATTTTACTGTGCAGATTTGGGACCTGTCCCTCCAGTATTTTCCATGTGTATATTATTTGGTATCTCTCTCGTGTACTTTCTAGTGAGTACATTTGGAGGGCTTTGAGACGATCCCAATAACTTAGGTGCTTTATCTCGTCTATGCGTGCCGTGTATGTTCTCTGTATTCCCTCAATTTCAGCAATCTCTCCTGCTCTGAAGGGGGGAAGTGAGTACTGAGCAGTATTCAAGACGGGACAATACAAGTGATTTGAAGAGTACAACCATTGTGATGGGATCTCTGGACTTGAAGGTTCTCGTAATCCATCCTATCATTTTTCTGGCTGACGTAATACTTGCTTGGTTATGCTCCCTAAACGTTAGGTCATTGGACATCATTATTCCCAAATCCTTGACATGCTGTTTTCCTACTATGGGCAGATTTGATTGCGTTTTGTACCCTGTATTATGTTTAAGATCCTCATTTTTGCCGTATCTGAGTACCTGGAATTTATCACCGTTAAACATCATGTTATTTTCTGCTGCCCAATTGAAAACTTTGTTAATATCTGTTTGTAGTTTATCAATGTCTTCAGCAGAAGTAATTTTCATGCTGATTTTAGTATCATCTGCAAAGGATGACATGAAGCTGTGACTTGTATTTTTGTCTATATCTGACATGAGAATAAGGAACAGCAGTGGTGCAAGGATTGTACTTTGAGGTACAGAGCTTTTAACTGCGCTCGGACTCGATTTTACTTGATTGACTGTTACTCTTTGTGTTCTGTTCGACAGAAAATTGAGTATCCAACGTCCTACTTTACCAGTTATACCCATTGACCTCATTTTGTGTGCAATCACTCTATGGTCACATTTGTCGAATGCCTTTGCAAAATCTGTGTATACGACATCTGCATTATGTTTTTCCTCTAATGCCTCAGTGATTTTGTCATAGTGGTCAAGGAGCTGTGAGAGGCATGATCTTCCTGCTCTAAATCCATGTTGGCCTGGATTGTGGAGGTCATTGGTTTCCATGAATCTAGTGACCTGACTCCTGATCACTCGTTCAAACACTTTTATTATGTGGGACGTTAGTGCAACTGGTCTATAATTCTTTGCCAATGCTTTGCTACCACCCTTGTGTAGAGGGGCAATGTCTGCTGCTTTAAGCACATCTGGTATCTCCCCTCTGTCCAAACTCTTCCTCCACACTATACTGAGTGCCTGTGCTACTGGCACTTTGCATTTGTTTATAAATATTGAATTCCATGAGTCTGGACCCGGGGCTGAGTGCATGGGCATATTGTCAATTTCCCTTTCAAAATCTGCCACGCTCGTGTTGATATCAGTTATATTTACAGGTGTTTGAGTATCATTCATAAAGAAATTGTCCGAATCTTCCACTTTCATCCTGAGTATCAGAGTGCTACATCCCAAATTCGACCCTTGAGCCATATTTTGGAGCCAAATTCTAACTTTCTGCACGAATTCGCAGTTTGAAATTACGACTTTTTATACCAAAAATATGCCAGTCATCCTCAGTGTATGAACCTTCACTAATACGAATAGATCCAATACTGGGAGTGGTTTTCGCTTTTGATTTAGCATATGTGAAGAAATATTTTGGGTTTTTCTTTATTTCTTGAATTGCTTTCTGTTCTAGTTGCCTTTCTTCAGTCTGATAGGAATGCTTCAGTCTCTGTTCAATTTCTTCAATCTCCCTGTTTAAATTATTTCTTCTCTGTATGGAGAGTCGTGTCTGCTTAAGCATTTCCGTTAATTTCTTCCTCCTTTTGTAATGTCATCTGCGTTCTTTTTCTACATTGGACCTCTTTCTGGCTTTCCTCAAAGGAACATGTTTCAGACAGACTTCATATGCTTCAGAAGTCAGTTTTTCTATTCCCTGTGTAGGATTTTTATTTCTTAGAACATTGAACATTCTTCAGCAATGCTGAAGCTATCTGCACCCACATATGATCATCAGTACACTGGGTGAACTGGAGTACGTATAGCAACAAAACTCGCACAACTCCAGATCGAAAGTGTCACCGACCCTACAGACAGCATGGCAGACACACAACCAATGATTGTCACCCTGAGACAAAGGGACAGAGCAACCTTTCGACTTTAACGAAGCGAGAGGGGACCCAGGGGTCGCATCCATTGGACAACAGAGTCCCTGCAGGGTTTCCCAGGGCCCTTAGTCATGGTATTCCGCTAAGGGTAACACAGGCAGGGTACTGCTAGCCGGCGCCCAAAACTACGAAGCAAACTCCTAAAGTTGAACCCCCGGGATGTGTACACTCGCAGGGACCTAGGGGAGGACCACCAAGTAACAATAGGGTATAACCAATCAAGTGGCAGAACCCCCCCCCCCTCCCACCAGGCAGTGAAACAAAAAACAAACACGCAAGAGGACAATGTACCCAGGCGGAACAGAGCCGGGTGCTATGTGAGGCGATAACTAGCAGCACAGTACCATGCAACCATACCAGTGATGAAAACTACACCTACACAGAGACAGGGAAACACAGAAACCCCAGCTGACTCCAAGGGCGGTCAATTACCGAGCAGCAAAAGACACAGCGGAGGTAAATCCCAAAGTGACTTGTAGAAGGTGGCCCCAAGCCACAAGGGCAGTACTTACAGGGCACCTAGGGAAGGAAACCCTAGACGCATGTAGCCCGAGTACTGAAGAAATTATTCCTGGCTCGCACATCAACTGTAGAGACAGCACCACACCACATGGCTCAGAACTGAAACAATTGCTGAAGCCAGAGACACACGACCTTGCCAGTGTCACATCAGCCAAGAACTAAGGAGTGGGTAGCCAGCGTGAAGGTCTGGGGATCCCCCCTTCACCCTCCCAGGGATGGAGGGGGGGGGGGGTACGCAGACAGCGGCGCGGCAACATGGTGACGTCATGCTAGTTTGCTTGTTTTTATTTGGAGAGTTCTGTCCACTCGTTCAGCTCTTTTTAGCAATGTTTTCACCAGAATAGGGGTTTGCTTTGGGGCGCCTACCTTTCTGGGTGCCTGACCCGGTCAATGGTAGACACAGAATGCTGCCAACCACATGGGGGTTTCTATAGGCTATTGCTACTCGTGCCTCTCTGAGGGGGCCAGGTTCTGGCTACCTGGTTGATGGGGTTCTGGGAGTTCTTCTACTCCCCAAGCCCAGCCTGAGGCCAAGCTTGACTTGTGAGAGTTTGGTCCACCAGGCTGTGGCTTGGAGCGGCCCGCAGGCCCACATACCCACCACAGCCCGGCTGGTCCGGCACTCCTTCAAGAAAACTATATAGTTTTCTCTTGAAGATGTCCACAGTTAGATGTTGAGGTGTTCAAGATGTTCCGGCAATATTTCTTATGCTCGCTGGGAGGGTGTTGAACAACCGTGGACCTCTAATGTTTATACAGTGTTTTCTGATTGTGCCTATGGCACCTCTGCTTTTCATTGGTTCTATTCTGCATTTTCTTCCATATCGTTCACTCCAGTATGTTGTTATTTTACTGTGTAGATTAGGGACCTGGCCCTCCAGTATTTTCCATGTGTATATTATTTGATATCTCTCTCGTCGTCTTTCTAGCGAGTACATTAGGAGGGCTTTGAGACGATCCCAATAATTTAGGTGCTTTATCGCATCTTTGTATGCTGTATATGTTCTCTGTACTCCCTCTATTTCTGAAATCTCTCCTCGTGCTCGTGATCCCAGGTAGGCATAGAACAACATGCACATTGACTGATGCCAGAAATCTAATATATCCATATCAGCCTGGATAGCTCTGGGGAGCCGACAGAGCTCCCCCCAGAAAAGCTCTTTGTCCTCCATTGTACTTCCTATGCCATTCTTATCTCATTCTTCTACTGAATCTCCTTCAGTTCTCGGAGAATAATACAACGATCCAGGTCATCATCGGGAAATCTGAGTTATACACCTGTGGATAAAGCTAACTGGGGAAATCTCTTAGGGGAATACTTAATGTAAAGTATTATCTATAAGTTATACAAGACCTTGCATATAAATACAGTACTCACATTATTCTATTTTTAACCAAGTTGTTTAAGTAAATAGAGCAGAAGGTATACTGAAAGCATCTGTAACACCAGCTAAAATAAAAGCCAAAATTAAATTTACATTTGTCAGGTAAATATCACCTTCAAAAATTTTGCAATTTCCTCATGACATCATATTCTGAATTTTGTTAAATCTTGAAATTCCCACTTAAGTTCCTATTAAGCTTTCCAAACAACTTTATTAAATAAGACATACATGAAGTTAAAGTTTACTTCAGTTCCCACAGAAATGTAATAGTCTGTCATTCAAAACATGAACAAACATTCTTAATAGTTCATTGTAACCGACAAACATTAAAGGCTCTCTACACATACCATCTCTGCTTGCTTGCTTTCACCAAAGCTGCAGATATTATCAATTCCTACTTTTTTTTTTAATACGTGGGGGGGAAAAGCAAAATTTTATCAAACGCAATAGCTACTTTTAGACAATAATCTTATAAGCAAATTATGCGCTGCATCTGTATAGCCCACATGTATGAAATCAGCGCACAGGTTAACTGTGTACATGTACATACCCCCCCAGCCCGGGCTGCGAGCTGGACTACTGCTGGGCGTAGTGATAAGTGCTAGAACAAACAAAAACCAATTAGCTTCCTTCTTGCGTTAACACAAATCTCTCTCTCTCACCTCGTACTGGGACATATGCTACTTGTATTGAGAATGCTTTGCACTCCAAAATATTCTTACGTTATCAGTAATACTGTAAATTGAACCATTAGCATGACTCATTGATTGCATTTAAGTATAATTAGCTATCACAGGTTTTCTTTTCTTCAACAATCAGAACCAATTTTGAATTGTTAGGTAAATTTGAGATTTTTAGTATTATTTATTTATATATATATATACATGAGTTTTTACACTCTTGTAAAGCCACTAGCACCCATAGTGTTTCAGGCAGGTCCTTAATCTAATTTTCCCCGGAATACGACCCACCAAATCATTAAACAACCAGGCACCCATTCACTGCTGGGTGAACAGAGGCTACAGTTAAGAATTGGCACCCAGTCAATCCTCCCTGGCCAGGATACAAACCCATGCCAAATCGCTCGCAAAGCGCTGGTCGAGTGTTTTATCACTAAACCACGGGGACAGCTAAGTATCTTTTAATTTGGTCCTTATAGAGTAAAGCTGATGATTGTGATTGTATAAGGCAACTTCAAATGCAAGTCGGATCAGGCATACTGCTATGCACAATGAAACCACAACAATGTGACGTATCTGAGAAAATATTGAGGCTGTACAATGGGATCAAACCAACGTCCGTGAACTCTCCAGGTAGGAAGGAAGGAATTATCAAGGAAGAGCGCCAAACCATTACGACTATATAGCACTTGGAAGGGGTCAGGATAAGGATTAGGGATGGGATAGGGGGGGGGGAGGGAGGGGAAAGAAGGAATGGTGGCCAATCACTTGGACGTTCAGGGACTGAATGCCGACTTGCATGAAGCGAGACCGTCACTCTACTGTCCAGCCCAAGTGGTTGGACAACTCTCCAGGTAATGTGTGTTGGGGAAGTCCAGGGATGTGGGTTTGACCCCATTATACAATCTAAATATTTTCTCACATCTCAGTATGTCAGGCAGTCAGGTGCATGAATAATTCCCTTATCACAAATGTTCGACAAATATCATTGGCACAACAAAATCATCGCTCAAACCGAACTATCAAATCAGTGTAAAGACTTAAACATTCTATCTCAAATAACCCACACATGAAATGAATCGTGTTGGGTTGAATTGAGTGTTTCAGTCATGTTCGTGTGATTTATTCTCTGCAGTCTATCACAATCTGTTGCAGAGATCATGACCCCTGGTCTCTGCGTGTGCCGGCTAGGACACGAGACAGCAATGATCACTCATGCAGCTGCACAAGTCATAAATGGCTGACCAACAGAGAGCTGGTGAGAGCAGACAGTACCGTAGATGTATGGGATCATTGAATTATGCCAAGTTTGGTTCTTGAATGAAAGGGACCATTGATCTAGCATAAAGTCAGCTATATGAAGCAATAAGAAATGTATGAATGAGTATGCCATTCCAAACACTGAAAAAGTGATATAACATTTACACGGTCTAATAGTGATCATACACCCATTGCAAGTAACAGATAACCCCCAAACCATACGGAAGAACCATGCAAAATTTTAATGACAATTTCTACAGAATCAAACACATTATCATTTGTTTAAAAAATAAAATGAGTTTTCTGCTCAGCAAAGTAAAACAAGTTTGGATTTAAATGTTGCTTAATACAGCCATTACTTTTCCAATTAATTCAGACATAAGTGCAATTCATGCAGAAGAGACAGCAGACAACACACACACAAGAACACGTTTAATAACCCTATCATCTCGCTGTAAGAAGACAGGAAGAGAAATACCGATATATCGCACTTGTACGGTACAGTAATTACCACTTCGTTACAAAATTATCCTTATAAATCTTGGTTCTTATTTGTTATAGTCATGCACCCTAACTGACCTTGCATATCCTTGACAAGAAGTTCCTTACTCAGCACTACTATTTTCTCCACTCATAAATATTATACATAATGTATTTACAATAATTAAAGAGACAGACATAACCTTCACTGAGAGTTCATATGATTATTCAAATGGCCAATCACTGAGAATTTGGTTTTGTCTTAGAAACAAAAACAAATTGGTAATTCCACAGGAAGATCAATACATTAACAAAACATACACTAGTCAAATATTTACTATTTTAACTTACATTATTTATATCTGTCATACAGTAAAACAGAGCAGAAAAATTAGATCATTAAATTATTTGTCTTTTGAGGATTTGTTAAATACACAGCAAAGTTGCCAGAAACATTGTTGGGGGGGGGGGGTTACACGGTGGTTTCCTGAAGCAGTCTCGATGACATTACTCCATACTAAAAGGTCACATCAGTCACAGAAGTTGTGTTTGGCCTACCAGAAACCACAGCTGCAACCTGGCCCCCCACCTTTCCTCACCCAGGTGCAGGGAGCCAGGGAATTATCTGGGAAAAACACCAAGCCATTATGACTATATAGCCCTTGGAAGGAATCAGGATAAGGATTTGGGATGGGACAGGAGGGAAGGAATGGTGTCCAACCACTTTGACTGTCGGGGAGTGAACACCGACATGCATGAAGCGAGATTATCGCTCCACGATCAAGCCCAAGTGGCTGGAAATGAGCGACAGTTTGTCACCTCATCAAGAAAGCCTCCAGAAAGTCAGCGAAGCTTTACTGACAACTGGAGGGTTCACAGAAAATGAAGCCTCAAAACACCCAAACAACTATGCAAATGATTCACACAGAACAAGCAATGCACTCAACCTAATTCAAAACTCATTTGTACCAATCACCACCCCAAGGCGGCCTGGACCCAGCCCGCACCCGGCTCCCCTGACCAATAAGTTCTGCTGCTGGTATGTGGACGGTTCTACTGGTAGTGCTTCAGTCTGTCAGTTGTGGACAAGCTCTGCTGTTTCAAGCCCAGTGCCACCCATCATTGGACTATTGATCCTCTTGTGGGAGCCATTTGCTTCTTCGTGTGTTCCTTTTTTCAGTGTTAGCCTCATGTGTGTGTGTGCTCTGTCCAAATTTTTATGCAGGATTGATTCTTGTTGCATTCTAGACTGCATGCACTCAGGGTTTTCTTCCCTGGATGCCTACTAACACTGCATTTACATAGCCAGAGTCATTGCTGGTGTGTTCAGGAATTCACCTGAGACCAGGCTGCTGGGGTGGAGAGCCCCACCATGTGCTATTCACGAATCTTTGATTCTTCTGCTTGGGTCCTTGGTTGAGGCATTGTTTTGGATTAGGGTGCAGGGGTACAACTGTGTGCTCGTTTGTATGTGTTTTGCAGTCACCATTTATAGCCTGGTTGTTTTGGCGGCTTGATGAATGTTCTTCCGGTGAACAGTCCCAGACTGGGGTTTCTGCTCGCTTAGTTGCCTTCAGACTCTGGTAATTCCTTTGCAGGTCTCTGGTATCGTCCATTATAGATCAGCCCATTGAGCCCTCACTCATCATGTGAGAGCTTGAAGTTCATAATTTTTGCTACTTAACAATGATCATTCTGTCTGTCTCCACCATGCTGTCTGTTGAGTCAGTAACACATATGACCCTGAGCCCTGTGAGATGTGTTCTCACTGGACCTCTGCCCTTACTGATCAGCTTCGTGTTTGGAAACTTTTCAGGCAGATGCAGCATTGCAAGCTAGGTTTGCTCGGGTTAGTGTTCACAGCACATTGATCACCTGCATGACCTAAAGTTGGCCTCTATGGTGTTTTGGGACTCAGAATTGGCTGTTGGTGAATTCCACCTGGTCTAAGTTTGTGCCTCCTCTTCCTTTCCCAGTGGGTATGGTATGCCTCACTTCTGGTCTTTCCTGTCCCCGTACCCCTGGTTCCAATTCCGAAACATCCGAGGGTCATTTCAGAGTTGGGTCAGGGTTTAGCTCGGAGTACAGCTCAGCCTTATCTGGGTGTGGTCCCATCCTCTTTGACAGCAGAAACAGTTAACCTTCTAGTTCCAGGGTTTCTGGGTATTTACCATCACAACTACCCTTACAGCTCTAAACCTTCTCCTTGGGAGGACGCCTTTCTGTTGCAGATGTTAGGCAAGGAATTTGACTTTTCCCCAAAGCCTTCATGGCAGGCTTTCAGGGTTGAGTGGGAGCTCAAAGAGGGCCCGTAAGTGCCCTTCAACCTTTTGTGGACTTTGGTCTCCTATGTGGACAGTCGTTTGCTTCAGGGGGAGAATTTCTCTTATCCTCCTTTTATGTACGAGTATGATCACTTTGCTGCTTACTCTCCAGTTCAATCTTGGGGGTCTTGTTCAATGCCTCAGTCATCATATTTCTGGAGTTTTCCATCTTCCCACATTATACCTTCTGTACTTTGAGTAGATTTGTTTTGGTATCCACACACTTGATTGGCAGAAGGCGAATTCCATCTTTCAGGTACCTGTACCTGGATTGTACCTGGATGGGCTTTTGAGAGTTATTTTACAACAGCCATGTAAGAGTTGTTTTACTCATGACTTGTAAGAGTGTGTTTTTAGGAGATGGTTCTTTTGTTCCACGTGGGAAATGCCTGTTTGCTTCTGAGGTCACCAAGACTAAGGGTATGTTCAGTGCCATGTGCAGCTGCCTTCGCTGTCCAGGACCCTTATTGCCAAGTACCACATGGCTTGCATGTTTGGCTCCTTATATAGAGGCCCTCTGAGCAACTCTGAGGACATTGCTCAGTCCCCGTGGCAAAGTCCCATTGCACAGTCCCTATGGCAAAATGGTAACACACTCGCCTGACGTTTCGCAAGCGCTTTGGCCTGGGAGGATTTACTTGGTGTCAATCCTTAACTGTAGCCTCTGTTCACCCAGCAGTGAATGGATACCTGGTTGTTAAACAATTTGGCAGGTCATATTCCAGGGAAAATTAGGATTAAGGACTTGCCCAAAACGCTATACTGTACATGCTAGTGGTTGTACAAGAATGTAAGAACTTGTAAATATATAAATAAAACAAATAAGACATAGCATCACTTAATTCCATTCTGGGTGTGGAGGCCTCGAGGCCTGCAGTTGCAGCCTTGGTGGCCTTGCTGAAAATGCATGTCCCTCTCCTTCAGGAAGTGGTGATGGTGATTTATTCGGCTCCTTCACATGTCAACAGGCTATGTTAGTACATTCATCAGATTTGGCTCCTCTCTTACCCTTTTGTCCATCTCCCCCATGTCACCTTTCCTCTTTCCCAAGGCTGTCATTGCACAGGTTTTGTCCGAGGCAGCTTGCTCTTGCTACCCCATTAATCATTTGTTGCTTCTTGGGGTCGTGCCCCAACATAGAGGCAGTCTGGTAGGGAGGGGATCTTACCTGCTGTTGGTCAAGGTAGGTCCTTGGGTGGGTCTGATTCTCAGGCTGTTGCATTTCCTCATGTGAGGTTCTTCCCTGTTTGCTATCACAACTACGCATTGTGGAAGGATGGTTCCACTTTTGGCTTATGATGTCCCTTTGACATCACCATGAGGAGGGGTCTAGCTCATTTTACCAGTTCCTGGTTCCACAATTTTTTTTTTTAAGTTTGTTTCCCCTAAGCCACCTCTCATTATCAAGTCGTGTGTGTCACACACATACGACTTGATAATGGTTCAGGGTGGACCGAAATGTTGTCATTTCTCCACCGTCTGATACGTGAATGCCTCAGTGGTCAACCCTGGTTCTTTGGTCCCCTGTTCTAAGGCTCACATTTCTAGGTCATCCGCCATGTCATTAAATCTAGCCACCCTGCCGTCTACTCTTGGGCCCATGATATTTGCAAATAAAAGGTTTAGGCCACAATCTTCAGCATGTCCTTGGCTGGTATTTGTGTCTCATGGGTTTTGGAATTCTAACAGGGTACTGGTGGCCCGGTATTTAGGCAATGGTTCTGGTCCCAGTCAGTAGTGTGTTGTTTTGGGCCATGCCCTTCCAACCTGTCCTCCTACAAAGAACGTCACTTTTCCCTCGTTCTCTGTGGTTAGCTTTAGGGAGCCACCAGCAGCCTACTCTAGAAGCCAGGAGCTGAATGTTATGAAATGCCTCTTTCTGGTAGAGTCCTGTGGCTCCCTGATTCCCACCCTTCCCTCCAAGTTCATTGGTGCGTCGGTGTGCTATTCATCAACTACAGAACTTTGTGGTCAATGGAGCTGGCTGCAGGCTGGGGCTGGCCCACCTGGTTGCTGGTGATAGCTACTAATGAGTAGCTGAGGATAACAAGCCAGTTATAGTGTATCCCATGTTCTGGGTGAATCATTTGTTGTGTTTGTTGTTTGAAGTTTTGCTTTCTGTTAAATTTGTCTGTAAATTTATTTTTAAATTTTTAAATTTCTCAAATTGTCTGTAAATCTTCACTGACTTCCTGGGATTCTTACTCAGTGGGGTGGCAAATTGTCACTTGCTCCCTGCACCTCTGAGGGGATGGTCCAGGTTTGGGCTCTGGTCCCTGGTAGGCCAAATACACCTTGCATGACTGACGTGACCTTTCAGTATGGAATAATCTTGGCAAGACAGCTTTAGGGAGTCACCGAGGCTACCTACCAGAAAGAGGTAGATCATTACACTCAACACTGGATTTTGTTGTAGTCTCATGTGCTGAGTAAAAGGCATAGATAAGAAGGCCTTGGTAATGTCAGATCACGCAACATCAACACACACAAAATACATATTAACAAAAAATAATTACCCTTATCCTTTTTTCTCTTCTTGCAGTCGAAGTCTAGTCTCCTACCCTGGAGCTTCTTGCGGTGATGCTGTGAATGGCAAGCAAAACATTTTGGTTACATACACATACCATCAAAAAATGGACCATCATCAACAAAACGAAGAAAACAATATTTTGATTGCATTCAAGAGGCCAAAACACAGGAGGTAATCATATGATTTTCACGTATAGATATCTGCCACATACTTCATTACATAAGTATCTGGGTCACAGAGGCCTTCTGCATGGTGACTCAGTTCATCACAGCATAACAATGTATCTATGTGAATCTTGCAGCTGTGCAGTATTAAAAATACAGTATAACATTATAAAAAAAATTATTTGAAAACTATAATACATTATGCCTTTTACAGTCACAATAAGGAAGTCAGTTATATACTGGTACTGTAGTTACTTTTGTGTACCTTAGACTTTTAATGAAACTTTTGTAGACAAACTTAGATTCAACATTCTCGGGTCTAATTAAAACAAAAGAGTACTGTATGGTATTCTTGAATGAGTGCAGTGGAAATGGTCTTACCTGGACCTCCTTTATATCTTTTGATGCCAACTGATGAAGCGGCTCCAACACATTCATCTTCATGTTGTCGTCCAAGTTGTATTTAATGTCCGCAATCTGTTTCATACTCTCGCCAGTCTCCACCAGCGCTGCCGCTGTTAATGATCAAATAACTATAATTAGTTACTGCATTAGTGGCAAATAGAGCTACATTAATTGCCAGGTACAGAAAATATAACTAATACAGTAACTTAAATGCTATATTTTCTCTATTTACATGCTGAATACAGGCTTAATTTCACGTATTTAAGTTTAATTGCATGGGAAGACGAGCAGAAATATTTTCTTACCTTCAGAGAATACTTTAACTCATGCAAGAAAAGACTCCTTGCACACCTCATGTTAATTGTTACCAACTTGTTTCCCCCAGTACATGTTTAGCTAACTGCTCTACAACCAGCCTCCCAATGAGTGAACAAAAGAAAGCAGTGATGGATCTGTACACATTCATCCCTTCACACAGCTCAACAACTGGATTGTTCTCACCTGTGAGGTGAACAGGTGAGTGGAACCGAATTCGTGGAAAAAATGACCATCACCCGAGACAAGCAAAACTGTTTGTGTGTTAAGCTGGGCCTGGATGAACAACAGATCTTGACTCATTCACAAAAGTATTTACCCAAATTTACTGGAGGGGCCACTAATACTAGTAGCGTCAACGAGGACAAGAAGCTGGCTGCTTGTCAAAGGTACCCCCATTTGCCTGGATGATCTTTTCTATCTGTATTTTAAAACCCAGCAGAGTTTTGGCATTTATGGCTTCGGTGGGAAGGTGGTTTCACTGGTTTACAACCCTATGGGTGAAAAAGCATCTCCTGTTTTCTGTCCTACATTGTGGCTTATTGAGCTTGAACCCGTTGCTTCTCGTTCGTGTTACATCTGACCTTTTGAAGAAAGTGTCCGGATCAACATCCTCCAAATTGTTTAGTATTTTGAAAGTTTCAATGAGATCTGCCCTGTCATGCCTGGTTTGCAGGTTTGTTAGCCCTGTGGCCCTCAACCGTTCCTGATACGAGAGATGACTTAGCTCTGGTATGATTTTTGTTGCCCGGTGTTGCACCTTCTCCAGAGCAGCTGTCTTTCTGGAGATGAGGTCTCCATGCCTGGATGCACCAGATACTTATACAGTTGAATGACTACTTTCTTTTCCTTGAGGGTAAAGGTACGCTTGATTATTCCCAGGGTTTGGTTCGCTTATTTTACTACTGCTCCCACTTGTTGTGCAACGTTTAGTGAATGATGGATTCTGACTCCAAAGTCTTTTTCTTCATCTATCTGTTGTAACGTAGTGTAGTCAGTTTGGTAGTTGTGACAAGGATTGTTATGCCCCACATGCAAGGTCTTGCATTTATTGACATTAAAGAGCATTTGCCAGCCATCTGACCATTTGTGGAGTTAATGCAGATCTCTTTGCAAATCTCAATATCACTTTCACTTCCCACTTTACCAGAGATCTTAGTGTCGTCTGCAAATTTGATGACGTGGTTTGTAATATTCTCATCTATGTCGTTGATGTATATGACAAAGAGGGTTGGCCCCAAAATGGACCCCTGTGGCACCCCACTTAGCACATTTCCCCAGTCAGATTCATTCCCATTTAGTACTACCCTTTGTTTCCCGTTTTAAAGATTGTCTTACCCATTCCCGTATTCTCCCATTTATTCCATGCGCCTGTAATTTCCTTGCCAGTCTTTCATGTGGTTCCTTGTCAAAAGCTTTAGCAAAGTCCATGTAAGCTACATCTACCGGAAGTCCTTTGTCTGAATAACCAGTTACCCTTTCCAGTAATGTGAGCAGGTTAGTGAGGCAGGATCTATTTTTAACAAATCCATGTTGCGTTGATTTTGCAAGATTGTTCTTTGTAAGATGAGTATGATTTCCTCCCTTAGGATTCTGTCCCTAAGCATGCAGATGTGTGATGTCAAACTGATCGGACGGTAGTTTTCTGCCGAGCTCTTTCTGCCGTTAAATGGAGATAACATTTGAATACATATTTCCAATCCAGGGGAACTATCCCTTGTATGAATTCATGTTAATTTGCATGTAGTTAGGTCAGGAGTGATTGCATTAAACAATCAAAAGATAGTGAGCTGGGGCCCAGGAGCCTTCACACTAGCAGGTACTCTGCGAGTTGTGAGAAGATTTAAGCAACCCCTCCTCCTCCTACATGAGCTTCACAGAGAGAACAACCTTTTAAAGTTCAAATAATTTTACTTTCCTCTACTTGCACCCTGTATTTTACCTGAAGTCATCTTCAAGAGTTCTGAATATGCACAGGTGTTGGCTTGCAGTGGTAATGAGACAGTACATGCATGCAAGGGTACCAGCGGGAACCTCCTCCCCGTCCAGGTAGGTCACTACTGTGTGTGGTGGTGACTCTTACGTGCTGCTGTAGTGGACAGTGGTGACTGTGACGTGCTGCTGTAGTGGACAGTGGTGACTCTTACGTGCTGCTGTAGTGGACAGTGGTGACTGTGACGTGCTGCTGTAGTGGACAGTGGTGACTGTGACGTGCTGCTGTAGTGGACAGTGGTGACTGTGACGTGCTGCTGTAGTGGACAGTGGTGACTCTTACGTGCTGCTGTAGCGGACAGTGGTGACTCTTACGTGCTGCTGTAGCGGACAGTGGTGACTCTTACGTGCTGCTGTAGTGGACAGTGGTGACTCTTACGTGCTGCTGTAGCGGACAGTGGTGACTCTTACGTGCTGCTGTAGTGGACAGTAGTGACTCTTACGTGCTGCTGTAGTGGACAGTGGTGACTCTTACGTGCTGCTGTAGTGGACAGTGGTGACTCTTACGTGCTGCTGTAGTGGACAGTGGTGACTCTTACGTGCTGCTGTAGTGGACAGTGGTGACTCTTACGTGCTGCTGTAGCGGACAGTGGTGACTCTTACGTGCTGCTGTAGCGGACAGTGGTGACTCTTACGTGCTGCTGTAGTGGACAGTGGTGACTCTTACGTGCTGCTGTAGCGGACAGTGGTGACTGTGACGTGCTGCTGTAGTGGACAGTGGTGACTCTTACGTGCTGCTGTAGCGGACAGTGGTGACTGTGACATGCTGCTGTAGTGGACAGTGGTGACTGTGACGTGCTGCTGTAGTGGACAGAGGTGACTGTGACGTGCTGCTGTAGTGGACAGTGGTGACTCTTACGTGCTGCTGTAGTGGACAGTGGTGACTCTTACGTGCTGCTGTAGTGGACAGTGGTGACTGTGACGTGCTGCTGTAGTGGACAGAGGTGACTGTGACGTGCTGCTGTAGTGGACATTGGTGACTCTTACGTGCTGCTGTAGTGGACAGTGGTGACTGTGACGTGCTGCTGTAGTGGACAGTGGTGACTCTTACGTGCTGCTGTAGTGGACAGTGGTGACTGTGACGTGCTGCTGTAGTGGACAGTGGTGACTCTTACGTGCTGCTGTAGTGGACAGTGGTGACTCTTACGTGCTGCTGTAGTGGACAGTGGTGACTGTGACGTGCTGCTGTAGTGGACAGTGGTGACTCTTACGTGCTGCTGTAGTGGACAGTGGTGACTGTGACGTGCTGCTGTAGTGGACAGTGGTGACTCTTACGTGCTGCTGTAGTGGACAGTGGTGACTCTTACGTGCTGCTGTAGTGGACAGTGGTGACTGTGACGTGCTGCTGTAGTTTGGGCAGCGTCACTCATCTTGTGAGTGGACACACCACCATAGTGACAGTATTGGGCAGCGTCACTCATCCTGTGAGTGGACACACCACCATAGTGACAGTATTGGGCAGCGCCACTCATCCTGTGAGTGGACACACCGCCATAGTGACAGTATTGGGCAGCGCCACTCATCCTGTGAGTGGACACACCGCCATAGTGACAGTATTGGGCAGCGTCACTCATCCTGTGAGTGGACACACCGCCATAGTGACAGTATTGGGCAGCGCCACTCATCCTGTGAGTGGACACACCGCCATAGTGACAGTATTGGGCAGCGTCACTCATCCTGTGAGTGGACACACCGCCATAGTGACAGTATTGGGCAGCGCCACTCATCCTGTGAGTGGACACACCGCCATAGTGACAGTATTGGGCAGCGCCACTCATCCTGTGAGTGGACACACCGCCATAGTGACAGTATTGGGCAGCGCCACTCATCCTGTGAGTGGACACACCGCCATAGTGACAGTATTGGGCAGCGTCACTCATCCTGTGAGTGGACACCGCCATAGTGACAGTATTGGGCAGCGTCACTCATCCTGTGAGTGGACACACCGCCATAGTGACAGTATTGGGCAGCGTCACTCATCCTGTGAGTGGACACACCGCCATAGTGACAGTATTGGGCAGCGTCACTCATCCTGTGAGTGGACACACCGCCATAGTGACAGTATTGGGCAGCGTCACTCATCCTGTGAGTGGACACACCACCATAGTGACGGTATTGGGCAGCGTCACTCATCCTGTGAGTGGACACACCGCCATAGTGACAGTATTGGGCAGCGTCACTCATCTTGTGAGTGGACACACCGCCATAGTGACAGTATTGGGCAGCGCCACTCATCCTGTGAGTGGACACACCGCCATAGTGACAGTATTGGGCAGCGCCACTCATCCTGTGAGTGGACACACCGCCATAGTGACAGTATTGGGCAGCGCCACTCATCCTGTGAGTGGACACACCGCCATAGTGACAGTATTGGGCCGCGCCACTCATCCTGTGAGTGGACACCCCGCCATAGTGACAGTATTGGGCAGCACCACTCATCCTGTGAGTGAACACACCGCCATAGTGACAGTATTGGGCAGCGCCACTCATCCTGTGAGTGAACACACCAACATGTACAACACCCCCCAATAGGAAGAAAACCCGCTGGGTAGTTCGTCCGGTCCCTGGTACCCAGACACAGCTGGGACTTGCTTAACTGCCCCTGCTTGATATCTGGTTGATGGGGTTCTGGGAGTTCTTCTACTCCCCAAGCCCGGCCCGAGGCCAGGCTCGACTTGTGAGAGTTTGGTCCACTAGGCTGTTGCTAGGAGCGGCCAACAAGCCCAAATACCCACCACAGCCTGGATGGTCCGGCACTTTTTTAAGAAAAAAATCTAGTTTTCTCTTGAAGATGTCCACTGTT